AAAAAATTATATTCCCACCAACATTTTCAACTCTCCCTCCCATTTTTATTGTCCAAAAAAAATAATTAATAAAACATTAATAAAAACTTTTCTATTTCTCTTCTTTCCTATCTGAACATATACTTTACTCTCTTCTTTCCTAGAACATACGCTTTACTCTTTGTCTGTAGAACAAGCTTTTCTCCAGAACTGAGGATCGAAGAGAGGAAGCTGAAGAACTGAAGAGCTGAGCTGAAGATTCTCTTCTCCAGAACCCGATTTTCTCGAAGAGATGAAGAGCTGAAGCTAAAAAACTGGGGATCGAAGAACCGAAGATTGAAGAACTGAAGAGAGGAAGCTGAAGAACTGAGATTCCTTTTTATTCTCCTATTCCAATTTTTTTGAGCGTAAGTACCGATTTCGTACAGCCGAGATTCCTTTTTATTCTCTACTAATCATCTAGTACTAAAAACAGTCAATTGATTGAATTTTTGTTTTGTGTTTAGAAGGAATTGATTACTTTGGGGTTCTTACAGCTGAAATTCCAAAGTAGGGGAAGAAAGTGCCAAAAATCTGAACGTCAAAGTTAGCCCTAGCCATATTAAGCAGACGAGATATTTTATTTAGAGATATATGTAAATGAATGCAAAAATACTATTGTAAACAGGGGTAAACCTTGAGAAGATTGAAGAGAACTTCTGAACATACCGTGATGTATCTAATATGTGTGAACTAGCTCCTCCCTACTGGGATGATACTCCTTCAATAAATCAGGAGCAAAGGTCCAGTCAAAGAAACAATGGGAGATCAGAATTTTTGTATATCATTTGGTCATCTTTAGCTATGTAGACCCGTTTATGATACTTGTGATAACTAGATAGCAATTAATTTGCCGATAGGGCTTTCTATTAGAGCTATTTCTGATACTTAATGCTTAACCATGCTATAGATGTCTAAGTAGTTTGCATTGGAGCTTTTCCTACAGGCTACATGTGTACTAAAACCTAATATGTATCATCTCATTACACTATGTGTACTCATGTCAATTTATGCTTACAGGTTGTCAGCGGTATTAATAAGGGTAGCAATTGCGGTTATCACATGTAAGTAAAACTTCTGTATCTAGCCTTTAGATCCTTCTACATGAAGTTGTCAATTATTACCTATTGTTCTGATTTGCAGTAATTCTTAATTCAGCTATTAGTACTAATTTAATAACATCTCAGCAGACTTGCGATTTTGTATTATAGTAAAACAATGGGCTGCTTAATGTTAATGGATCCATTTTAGTGATGTAGTGTCTATCTTTGTTTTCTTTAATATTATAAATTTTGAATGACACTATTCAGCTCCGTAGTGTTCAAGACTATAGTAATGCGAAGAAGCCACAAGTATAACTCTGTAAGCTCAGCTACACAAAACATTACAGTCTCTAAAATCCTATATAATCCTATAACTCTGTCTTCGTAGTATTAAAGTCTAACATACTTACAAGTATAGCCAAATAATCCTATAGCTCTGTAAGCTCAGCTACATAAAACATTACAGTCTCTAAAATCTTAATTCTTGCAAATGTATGCCTAACGAACTAACAAGTATAGACAAATAATCCTGTAAGCTTAGCTCTTCAAAACATTGCACTCCCTACAAACTGATTCTTCAGAATGTATATATCAGACAAGTACACATGCCAACATAGTTTAATATGGTATATCCACTCAGGTAGAACTCTTCCAACTCAATCTTAAGTATCTTAAAAACATACTTAAGATTAGTTTCTCACACTGCCCAGAAGTATAGTTATGAGACTTACCTGTTTACAGTAGAGTGTCTTGGTGTTGTTGGAGTTGAGTTTCCTCTTTTTCCATGCTTTGTTTGGTGCAACTACTATCCTGATTTACATGTCTACATTAGACTATCTTTGGATATTTCTCTTGTTGCCCCTGTTCTTTGGCCTGAGGTTGACTTGGAGTTGGATATTTGTTTGTTGATGTATTTCCTTTATTGATGTATCAAATTGTGAAGATGGTTTTCTTGTTCTTCTTGTATGTTAGTTTGTTCCTGCACAATAAGATTATTATAGTTATTATGAGTAGAAATAGTAGAGTTAAGTGTCTTACATGACTGTGCCTGATATTGTTAGTCTTGCCCTGTCTTCTCTTGTGGTGAACCAGGTCCTCCCATAGTGTGGTGGTTCTGCCTATAAGTCTTCTTCTTTTGAACCTGCAACTGCTCATATAATATCTTATTTGCCTTCTCCTGATTTGGTTGCTAATTTGTGTCAGCCGGCAATCCTTGCATGGTAGTGATAATAGGAGTCGCAAGGTAAATAGGAATATCATTTTTAGCCTCATTACTAAAGTGAGAATAAGGAAGCCTTATTTCAACTTTATAATGATGACTAATAATTTGCAAAGATCACATAACCTTGGGGGGGGGGGATTATCAGTAGTGTAGTGAGACAGATGTAGACATGTCTCTTTGTATTGGGTTTGTAGAATTTTAAATATATTTGGTTATGGGCAGTGCACTCGTGAGCTTAAGTCACTACAATTTTTGTGCATAAATAGTCGAACCTACAAATTGGGAATAACATTCACGGCTAAAGTTGCACAGTCCATTACCACTTGACTATCTTTTCTCTTTGATTTAAGTGATTCAAAATTAGTATATATATAGAAATATTTATTAAAAAAAAGTATATATATAGAAATATTGAAAATCCACCCTATATATATGGTAATTTTCTGCCAGAGAAGGCTCAGTGAACCCCATAGCACTCACGTAAGTCTGCCCTTGCTCTTGATGTATGTGAGTTCTATTCTCAAGTTTCAAGTGCGTACGTAGTTGGAAATTGGAGAAAACCTAAAGAGACATGAACAACAACATATCAATTTGCAAAGTGCTTATTTGAGCATGAAGCAAGGCTATTGTTTTATATAACTGAATGTTAATTTCCCATGTTGATTTAAGGTTTTCAGATTGCAAGTGAATAATGAGAGTTGGTTTTGCAGACTCTTTAGACTTTGTACTTATTTGTTTACTTCCATTCCTAGAGCCCTTTAGTTACTTTCATCAGGAAAATGCTAAAATATTAAGTCAGAGAATTTATGAAAAGATACAGATAGGCTAAAGGTGCAATTTTCATGATTCGTTGAAGAACTTTGACAACCAATTTTCATGATTCGTTGAAGGAAAGTCTGCTTCTTTTTGGTATTAAATTTTGTTTCAAATGGTGTATGTATCCCTAAAATGAAGAAAGTTTATTCTTGTATTTAAGCCTTACTTGTTTTCCATTTGAAGTGTTTTAATAAATTGGTTGTTTAAGCCCATGGGACTATTGTTTTGAGTGATAAATTCCTGTTATAATGCATAAAATGAGTTGTGTGACAGTCATTTAGAATTTATTTTACCGTTTTAAGTTAAATTTCTGGTTTACGTTGCTCTTTGTGAGTCATTCTAATGAGATTATTTGGTATTCTCATATTGAAATCTGCTTGCTCTTGCTATAAACAGTGATTTCTTTATCATATAAATAGATAAAGAGAATCTTAGTTATGATAGTTGGTATTCTAATGAGCCGCAAATGATTGTTGATCAATTTTGTTTGCCTGGTTGTCTGCAAATGTCCAGTTTTCTTCATGTAAATAGAATCTCAGTTATGATATGTGTTTGTTTCTAAATACATCTTTGTTAAAGTATTGGCCTGAGCTAATTCAATGGCATGTAATTGCTTAAATTGTTAATATGTTATGGTCTTATGGAGAAAAAAATGGATTTCAGAGTTCAGACAATATTTAAAGTAAGATCCCCACTATAATATTTACCTGGAGCATCATAACCTATTGTGCCTATGATCCCACTTGTGCTGAATTGATTTACATCGGCAATTTGACCCGAGTCAGACATGAACTTTGCCAAAGTCGCTAACAAGAGCAGTCAGATCATTGTCCAATAGAACATTGTTTGGCTTAAGATCATAGTAAACTATAGATGTATGGCATTGACTGTGAAGATAATGCAATGTTGAAGCCACATCTATTGTAATGTTTAATCTGTGTAAGATGCTCAATCTCTTCTGCAACATCTGTCCCTCCTTCGGCTGTAACCACTCGTCTAGGCTCCCATTTTCCATAAATGGATAAATGAGTGCTTTGAAATCATTGCCATCAAAATCAACACTTGAGCAAACTGTTGAGATCTTCACCAGGTTCCGATGCCTTATGTTCCTCAAGGCTTCACATTCAGCCAAAAAGCTTTTCGAAGCACCCTTTTTTTTCAAGTTTTAGTACCTTTACTGCAATAATTTACATATATATAATATGTAAATGAATGTTCAACTTGCATAGAAGTATCTTTCAATGAACTGCTGGAATCTGGAATCTGGAATCTGGAATTTGCAATGTGCAGATTTGTTGTTCTCTATGACTGCTGCAATCTGCAATCTGATTTGTTCTTCTATAACTGCTGCAATCTGGAACTTCTTGCCTCTTCTATAACTGCTGCAATCTGATTTGTGTAGGGAAATGGAGGTGATCAAATTTGAATGGTCTCCGCAAGTCAATTTGATCCCATTGAAGTGGATGATGAAGAGTTTTGAACTATTGCAAAAGTTTGAATACATTATATTTGATTTTGTGAAATATATTCATCGCTAGAATATATTGAACTTTTGTAAAAGTACTTTTTGAACTATTGTATACACATATTTAGAATATTGCTTTATATGTATGTGTATGTACACAAGACATACTATATATCTTTTGAAGTTTATGGAAAATCTATAAATTTGAATTACTTATTAGCTAATTTAGTGCTTGAGATTATTTATTGCAAAATAATATTGGTGCTTTTAATTAGAAATTGTGGCATGTAAATATTTTATAGCCAAAATAATATTACCACAGTTAAAAGTGTAGCCATAGGACTGTAAATTGTGGTATGCACATGAGCAAGGACTACACTTCAAAGTGTTGTCATACATAAGATAGAAAAGGCAACACTTAATAATTGTGGGCAATATGGAAGCAAAGGCCACGCTTGAAAGTGTAGCTGATAAGGCAACACTTTTAAGCGTAGCTGCAAAGCGTGGCCTTTTGCCTTTTAGGCTACCCTTGAAAGTGTAGCTGTTAAGGCAACACTTTTTAAGCGTAGCTGCAAAGCGTGGCCTTTTTGCCTTTTAGGCTACGCTTTTAAGTGTAGCTGATAAGGCAACACTTAAAAAGTGTCGCCTAAACTCTAAGGTTACGCTCCTTTCGGCCACCCCTGGAAAAGTGTGGCTTAAAGTCAAAAAGTGTCGCCTTTTATCAAAGGCCACACTTTTTCATAGTTTAGACCACACTTTTCTAGTGTGGTTGTAGGCCTAAAATGTTGTAGTGTGTGTTTAGGAAAAATTTTATGGTAAAAGCTAATTTCGATCAAGCATATATAGATTTAGATTAATAATAATTTAAATAGTTCAACCTCCTTATGAAATGACACTATGAGAAAAAAGGCTATGTTGGAAATAATAATTCAAAGTTGGAGTAGGAATCCTAAGTTGATTTGTCACAATCCGAGCCTACACCTTAGACGTGACCGGCACTCGAGAACCATTGTTGGTCCCCAAGCGAAACGCCATCCTGGCTGACTACAAGCGGAAGACTAACTCAAGCATACAAAGCTTAAAACTGAATAAAATCCATTAAACTCAAATACAAAGTTTTAACTCAAATGATTAACTCTGAATATAATATTATATTCAACTAGCCAGAAATAGGCAACTCAAATCTTTAAAACATTTAACAAAATAAATGAAACAGACTTCTCAAACTCTATTGTCTATCTATGAAGCCTTTAAATAAAAAATATGGAAGTCGGGACAAGACCCACGACATCCGAACAAAACAGAAAGTAAATGGAATCCTCCGGAAGCAAGGAGGCTCACCAAAGCTAACTCGAAATGCAAATGGTATCAACGAAACTCATGTTGATGACCCTAGTTACATGTATCTGCATCATGAAACGATGCAGACAAAATGGCATCAGTACATGGAATGTACGAGCATGTAAAGGGAATTCTAAAGCATAACATAAGCTTGAGCTGATGGAAAAGAAACATACTTACCTCTTCTCATCTCACTCAACTCAAGTCAAAGAAACATAGTTAAACTCAACTCAGAGAAATAGGGCTCAACTTAATAATAAGAGACTCAACTCTGTGAAACATAGTTCAACTCAACTCGGAGAAAATAGGGCTCAACTCAATAATAAGAAACTCAACTCTGGGTACTCAACTCAAGATAAAGCAGCAGTAAAAGATGCAATATATGGAAAGCTTTTTAAAACCGTAGATAGCAACTCAATGTATTGAAGAATACAATAATAACTCAGTTTGTATATAAAAATGAAAAATAACTCTGTGAGAGATTCTCTAACCGACAACCATCACTATGAGCTATGTGATGATTGTTTTATGGGTTTAAAAAGAATATGATAGTTTTTATGAGTCGCCACTTAATTTTTAAAGGGAGATTAAGAAAACTAGTTTTCTAAAGATTAAAACAAAAAATTGGGCTTTTCGAAAGTCAATTTGACTAACTTTCAAAGTTAAATTAATTTACATTAATTCGATATTTTAAATAAAAAAAACTAGATATTCAAAAATTATACAAAAAGTACTATAAATTGTAATTTTTTTGCATATCAATATGATGAATAAAAAAATACATTGTAAAATGTTAGTCAAAGTTCTTATTGTTTGACTTCTAAAAAATGGAAATCATGACAACTAAAAGTGGACGGAGAGAGTATCATTTTAATTTTAATTTTTCACGTGACATGTTTCAGACAACAAAATTAAAAAAACATTTTTGTACATTTGACATAACTTTACTTAGGACCATAAAATTGAAAAGTCTTCTATATTTTTTTATATTACGTATCAAGTCAAACTATGTCATTTTTTTTAAATGAATGGAGCATTTAATTTTTATAAATAAATCATTATTTTTACAAGATCTTCGTTTTTATATAAGAAATTTGAAAAAAAAAAATACTTTCTTCTAATCAAATTATAAAAGGACAAAAATAGCTCAAATCCTTTATCTTTCTTCTAGTCATTAAAATTTCTCCATTGATAGATATAAAGACTAAGAATTTTTTTTTGAAATTTGTGATATAAAATCATCCTTAGATATTTATTGTAATTGTAAATCGTTTCATTAAGGATAAAAATATAGAAATTATAAAATTAAATTATTTTTAATTATAGTATTGTAAAACGAATTAAAAATGAAAGGGTGTTGGAGTGAGGGAGGACTTAAATTGAAAAAAGGAATAATATACTTACTACTAGCTTAGCAATCAATCAACTATATGTCACTTCAAAAATTAATTTGAGTCAACTACATGAATACTTTATATTATCTTTATTATTATGACTCAATATGATCTAGATGGTTCATCATAATTAAACTATTGTTATACTAATTTTTAAATTTAAATTCAGGACATGCTTGTGGCATCAATAGATACATCATCAAGTTCAATTGAATGGATGCTGTCAGAGCTTCTAAGAAATCCAGACATAATGAAGAAACTCCAAAAAGAATTAGAAGAAGTAGTAGGCCAAAACAGAATGGTACAAGAATCAGACTTAGAAAACTTAAAATACTTAAACATGGTATTTAAAGAGTCATTTAGGCTACATGCTGCTGCCCCATTACTACTTCATGAAGCCATGGAAGATTGTATGGTAGATGATTTCTATATCAAAAAAGGATCACAAGCTATTGTCAATGCATACACTATTCATAGGGATCCTAATTTTTGGACCGATGCTGATAAGTTTTTGCTAGAGAGATTTCTTGAAAGTAATGTTTATGTTCGTGGACGTGATTATCAACTCTTACCATTTGGTTCTGGCAGAAGAAGTTGCCTCGGGATGCAATTGGCATTAATTATTGTTCGTCTTGTTGTAGCACAATTGGTTCATTGCTTTGATTGGGAACTCCCAAATGAGATGCAGCCTAAGGATTTGGACATGACTGAGCAATTTGGTATAGTTACAGGCAGGGCAAATCATTTAATGGTTGTTCCAACTTATAGGCTACAACACAGCTGATTTTGGGAAATTGATTTTGATACATCTAGTTATAATAATTATATGATCTTGTATAATAAGTTTCTTTAGGGATTTTGATTGATTACTTCTTTGTATGCAATAAATATGTTATTGTTTTTGTTATTACTTCTAATAAATGATATATACAAACTTTTGGTTCTAAACTTCTAATCCATACCCTTATTATATTATATGCCTATAAATATTTTAGGATATCCCTTGAGAAATTAAAGATATTTAATAACCTTAACGCAACTAATCAATTAATAGTTGGTGAATCTATGAATAGTCATTGTTACCCAAAATTGGAATTTTACGTGGATATCCAAAATTTTGGTTAAAGGGTTTGATTGATGAAATTGGTGAATCAATGAATTGAGATATAGTTTGGTGATGATTTTAATTCACCTACTTTTAAGAGTGGATGTTATTTCCATTAATATAATTATAACAAAAATATTTATATTTTCTTAAAAGCATGTGAAAGAGAACTTGACCTAATCTAGTCTTCACTCTTCCAGCTATAGCTAACCTCATGGAACATTTAGGGTGTGGAGCAAAAAATAAAAGATAGTACTTTCTAAAAAAAAAAAATTTCAATCACCAACCAAACATTAAAGAATATCTTTTAGAAAATATTTTCTACCCACCACCAAACATGAAAAAATAAATTAGAAATCCACTTATTTTCCAAGAAAACATTTTCCTCCCCGCCAAACACACCCTAAAAAGGAAAAATTATGCAAAAAGAGTCGCTCGGCCTTTTGCTTTACACAAAAATTGACTCAATTTTCAAAATTATTAAAATTGATCAAATACTTTTCTTCTTCCTTTCAATTTCATTATTGATGGTGCCCTGCTTTTTTTTTCCTTTCAATTTCGTCATTAATGGATGTTTTTTGCTTTTTCTCTTCTTCATCATTCTGCTTCGCCTTCTTCGTTATTATTATTTTTAAAATTCAATGTACTAAAAACGTGAATAATTTTGAGTGAATTATGTATCAAAAGACTTGAAACATCGAGAGGCCTTCATATCTAAATTTTGGGACTATTTAGATGTGATTTTGAGTTTATCGAGATCGAATTCGTCAATGTATACTTCATATATAGTTAGTGTATATTTCATGTATAATTAAACTATATTCAACATTTTGAGTATATCATAATGTATAGTTAGTGTATTGATCATGTATAGATAAGTTGTATTGCATAATGAATGTATACTTTTTATGACTTTTGACAAACTATATTGTATAGTCAGTATAAATTTCCCGTGACTATTGACTATTTTTGTATAAATAAAAACATAATTATATTTAGAGAAAATGGTCTAAAACCCCCCCAATCTATACCCGAAATCCCAACTACTCACTTATTCATTACGGGAGTCCTATTACCCCCCTGAACATTTTAAAAGTATAATATATACCTCCTTAAAAACACACAACCAGATTTATATAAAATTGTGAATTGCACGCGCCTGCCACGTAATATTACCTTTTTTAAAAAAAAATATATTTATTCTGCAATTATTTTTCACTATATTTCCATCTTTCTCTTTTACTTTCCTTTTTCCATTCCTCTTTTTCTTTGATCTACTTTCCTTTTTCATTCCTCCTTTTCTTTGATCTTGACAATTGATTTTCCAGATTTGGGGATACATTCTATGACTGCCACCATCTTCTTCGAGCTTCATCGGAGTTATGAACACTAGCAAAATTTTGATGCTCTCTATTGAAGCAAGAATTTAACAATGTTGAGCAACCCATTTCGATTATTGGGTCTTTTTCATTAATGGGTTTGTTACGTAATGATTTCATTGATGAGTTCTTCTCCATTGATGGATCTGTTACTTATTGAATTTTTCTCCATTAATGACTCTAAAGTTCGATCCTCTTGACTTTCGATTTCGATTTTGAGTTATTGTCAATTTTTCACACTGATGAGATGTGAATTTACTATGAGAAATTTGTGATTTGAGAATGAAAGTGAACTTAATGATTAGAACTCGGTGAGGGCGGTGACCTGGTGGTGGAGCAAAGCCGTCACCGATGACTTTCGATTTTGATTTTGAGTTATTGTCAATTTGTCACATTGATGAGAAGTGAATTTGTTGTGAGAAATTTGTGATTTGAGAATGAAAGTTAACTTATTGATGAAAGGTTGTTGAGGGCGGCGATCAGGTGGTGGAGCAGAGCCGCAGGCCGACGTAGCTTTGGTGAAGAGAAGAAGAAAGACGATAAAAATATTTTTTCTTAAAAGAAACATAAAGAATTTTGAAAGAATAAAAAAATAATAATATAAAATTTAAGAAATACTTTTAAAATTAAAGTTTAATTATTATTTTTACCTCTCACTCTCTCAAAGAGAGTGACTACACTTTCTTTGCCACCTCATCATTCAAGGAGCAAATAATTCTACTTTAAAAATAGTGTAAGGGGGTAATAGGACTCCCGTAATGAATAAGTGTGTAGTTGAGATTTCGGGTATAGATTGGGGGGGTTTTAGACCATTTTCTCTTATATTTATTGTAAACTAATTACATTATCATATATATATATATATATATATGAAAGCCCTATTAAAACCGTATCCTATTTGACAGAAATATGAATACTGACTTTTTGTATGATGCATCAACTCAACTCAAATGGATTAGTCATTTTGAATTGTTTGTGGTTGTGGATATCAACTTATTAAAAGTTTAGAATGATTATATTTATACGGTAAAAGGCATAAGAAAAATTGAATTTGTTCCGAAAAATTAGTTACATGCTTAAATTATTATGGTGATCTATTACATATTTATACTATTCAAAAGTAAAAAAAAAATCATCTAAAATAAAAATGAAAAAAATAAGTGTGTCAGTTTAAAATTAGAGTAAAAAATAAATCAGAATCTTCTTTTCTATCCACAAACCCAATCCTTTTTCTCTTCGCACCCCACCCATTGCCATCTTATTCTTTATTCTTTATTTTCATCATACTTCCTTATATTATCTTAAAGCGCAATTTTTTGTTGATTCACAATTAAGTTAATTCTTAGAGATTTGTTAGTGAATAATTGTATTTTAAGCATCTAATTAACTTTTCGGCAGGGGTGGGTCCACCCTTAGCCAAAAAAGGTGTCAAGCGACACCCCTACGTTGAAAAATTACATTGTATATATAAGTTAAATTTCGTTATATATATCGATACCTCTTGACACAAGTTAAAGGTTTAATCAAGTGGTTAAGGTGTTTGGGAAAATTTCTTGAGATTATGTACTCTAGTCCTATTAGCCTTATGATTATATTTTTTACTACAACCATTGACACCCTTTAATGATAATCATAGGTACGCTACTGCTTTTCGAAACAAGTTCAGAGAAAAATCTATATTTTTCCTTATATATATATATATATATATATATTTATTACCCTTATTTAAAAGTGAGACTTCCAAAGGATGAACAAGGGAAAATATGGAATTTTAATAATAACTCTAGGGTAATCTGTAAATTAACTTTCCATGTGCTGTGTATCCACTTTTTCTTTCTTCATCGTTTACATCGACAGTCTCCAGATGCTCTGAGACTCTTCGCGTTTGGAATCTCTGTTTCGCCTCAAATTTCTCTTCAGTGTTGCTGTATTCATTGGCTAGAGTAAGTTTTTCTTTCCCTTCTCCCACAATTTTTCCTCCTAATGTATCCAACTCTTGGAAAAGGACCTATAATGGTAGCTATTTTCATTCTTCTTTGGATTTTTAGGTCTGCATATATATCATTAACCCAAGGTAATTTGCTCATGCATGTTTGAAAATAGAAATAAATATGTATCTAGCTTGAAAGTGTTGATCAAGCTTTGGCTTGATTTTTTTTACCGCTCTCCTTTCTCTTCGGATTTCCTATTTTTCTCAGACTCGAAAAAGATAATCTTTTTAATGCCATTATCATCAATTTCTTACTAAATTAGTGGAGCTTGTTAATGCTGCAATTTCAGCTTCATTGATATTTCCTGAATCTTCATCAAGCTGGCATATCTAGAGACCAGAGTACATACCACTAGAGGCCTTGGACGTTGTATGCTCGTTGGCTAAACATCAAGAGAAGCGCCAACTATTCTTCACCAGGTTGTTCTTTACTTTCATTTTTCAAAGATAAGTCCTACTTACATGTCGAAGTATAGTTTGTCATAGACTTCATTAATAGTGGAACATGTTTGACAAATTGATAGAATTTTGTATTGCCTTGCTTTTTTCCTCTTTTATAGAATAATTCCTTTTCTACTAGATTGATGAAAACATGAATCAAGTTCTTTTAGCAAGAATGAAGTTGTAAAGGATTTGATTCTTCAATATCATCCACTTACAAATATAGTAATCTTCATATAACATTTTGCACTTTAAAATGATCCTGCTTAGTAGAGGCGAAGTTAGGATTTTGAGGTTATGAGTTCTGAATTCTAGAAAAGACAACTTATTGAGTTTTGGGCCAAAGCTACTTCATTTTGTTCAATCTGTGGACAAGCTTGTAGCTCTGCCTCTGCCTCAGAGTATTCTTGAAGCTAAGTTTTTTTTTTTCCAGTGTAGAGGATTAGTAGTCATTTCGGAATGAAATATGCTTAAATGAAACGACATGATTATTCAAAACTCTTATATCCGACCTCCCAACTTGCTCGGGTGGAGGCATAGTCATTGTTGTAGAGGGTTTGATAGCCCTTTTCTATGTTACTAGACTTTTCAAAATCATTGTTGTTTCACCCGTGCTGGACACGCAACTGGTGACATTTTTGAAGAGTTCGAGCAGTATAGCTTTCCCTAGGCCTAAAGTTTAAATTCCTTTTACCTGTATCAATGGTCTAATATCAAATAAAGGTGCTTGGCAACAAGTTCAAAATTCAAATTGTGCTCTTGATGTGGACGGACAATAGTTATGTATTTTACTTCGAATAATATGGAATAATAAAGTGTGCATCAAGTCATTTTAAAGTTTGTTTTGACTCCTTAGATCAAATTTTATTAATCTACATAATTGTTTGTCCTAGATTTCCTGAAAAACTTAAACATCCTTTTTGTATGTTAAATGAAGTGTTTTAGTGACTTTGATCATACTTCTTAAACAATTTGTCTGTTTGATATGTAAAACGCTCATATGCGAAAACCGTGATAAATTATTTGATTAGTTTCAATAGAAGAATTACAGTCCAAATATTGTTTATGTTAAAGAATCATTACCTTTTATATTGATGTCTTATACTGCATAATATTATCTTAGTAGTCATAGTATTGCTTTGGTAGTTTCTTGTCCTTTGATTTCACTTGCTCTCTATTGTTTCATGTACCTATTATTGTATTGTAATTTTTGTTTTGTTACTATCTATTATTTTTTGTTATTATCTTATGTTTCTTGTACTTCTGTTATTTTTTTCCGGGCTTTTTTTCCCTTTAGTCGAGGGTCAATTGGAAACAACTTTGTCGCTTCTAAGATAGTGGTCGGGTAAGATTTATATACACGCTATCATTGTCAGTCCTCACTTTGTAGGTATGTTATTGTTGTTTTATTGATGCAGTTTCCCTTTTTATTGTGGTTCCTAATTTATTGAGTTTTACATGTTGGTCCCCATGTAATGCATACTTTTTGTTGTTAGCAATTCACCTCTAACGCCAGTTGCTCAAGTAATTGCTCGGTACTACTCTGTCTGGCTTATGTTGCTCAAATAATTGCTTGGTACTACTCTGTCTGACTTATATTGATAAGTCGGACAGAGTACGTAGTACCGAGCAATTATTTGAGCAACTGGCGTTAGAGGTGAATTGTCTTTTCCTTTTCTTTACTACTTTCTCCATCAATACATGTTCTGCTACATATTGATATTGCATACCAAGGACCCTGTAATGATGTACCTAAAATATGTGTGCAGTCTAAAATAAGTTTTCCTACAGTTCCAGTCAATCAAGTTTGCTAATTTGTGAGTAGTCAAATCATGTCTGGACATTTGCCATGATGTTTTGAATTGGTACCCAGCGAGGTGGCATACAAGTTGGGTCAATTGGCTTCTCAATTATAATTTATTCACTCCCACCTCCTCTACACCTCAACCAGTGTGGCCGTCCTTTCACCTTATATGTGAACCAATTATTGTCTGAATCATTTCCCCCTTTTAAGCCTTATTTTGTTACCTTATTTTGTACATATATAATTATTGTTGAACATAGATATACAAGTTGGAAGATTGGTATTAAAATCATCAAGTTTGAGCTACATGATGAACTTTTCAAGACCAAAACATAAGGATATAATATACTAATTTTAAATTGGAAAACTAATATTTATGACAGTGCCATGATGTTTTGAATTGGAAACTGAAATTTAGGATAATAATGTTCTAAATTTTGAACTGAAAAATTCAAACTTAGAATAGCAAAATTCACAATGTTAAGTTTTGATTAATATTTAATACTTTATACTTATAAGTTGCATTTAGAGTTTTGAAGTGAAAATACATAATTTAGGGATACAATTTCTTGAAAATTTGAACTGAAAAATTCAACTCATCTAAAATATTAAACTAAGAAAATGAACACGAGGATATAGAATTATGAAATTTTGCACATGAAAAACAGAACTTCAAAACAATATGACTTAAAACTTTTAAAACTTCAAAATCAGATAGACAAATAGATGTTTGAAATTTGAGTCAAGGCTAAACAATAAATAATTTATCAATCTTCTAAAAAAGAGTCTAAAAATAACAACCAGATGCCATTTTTCACCTTTAAACTATCTACTTTAATATGTAAATGTTGGGCCGTGCTAGCACGGGCCATACCTATCTAGTCATCATCATTCTATAGAAGTGGTGGTGCCGTTGGACGACCAAGGATACTCCCGTCATTTGCCCCTTTAAAATTATATTAAGATAGGTACCATCTTATCCCTAGATTACAAACACGTGTTGTTACCTGTTTCTATCAATCCAACACTATAGACATTTTGTTAATATTTTTTAAAGGGAAAAGGGTCTGATATACCCCTCAACTTTGTCATTTAGAGCTGATATACCCCTCGTTATGAAAGTGGCTCATATATACCCCTACAGTTATATAAATGGCTCACATATACCCTTTTCCTCTAACGGAAGTGAAAAAAAAATTAAACTATTTTTTTATTATTTAAAAAAATATAATCCCATATGGGTATATTTAATCGTCCTCAAACATATATTATTATTTTTTAACTTTTTTTTGTTTCAATGATTAATTTAGATTTATTATTTTGATGGTCAAATTTATTTAAGTTTCGCTAATATTCTTGTAAAATTTATTATAGATGACCCAATTTTTTTCTTCAAATACAAAAACTAAATTACAATATATCCGAAAAAAATAGTTTTAAATTATAATATAGCAACAAAAAATTAGTTTTAAATTTTTTTTCTTTACACTAAGGAATGAAATAAAAAAATAAAATAAGAATAAGAAACTCAAATAATGATAATCAAGAAGTCAAAAATAATTTATGTTCGAAAAAAATTATAACATACCTATAAATTTGCTAGAAAAATCATATATGCCCCAAATGATTTTAAAAAAAAAAATCAAAAGTCAAAAATAGAAATTTAAAACTAATTTTTTCACTTCCGTTAAATGAAGGGTATATGTGAGCTCATTTTGCAACAGTAAGGGTATATGTGAGCCGTTTGTATAACGGTAAGGGTATATATGAGCCACTTTCATAACGAGGGGCATATCAGCTCCAAATGACAAAGTTGAAGGGTAATTAGACCCTTTTCCCTTTTTTAAATATTATGCTTCAAATATGTTGTACTTGGCTTGGACGACGAAGGCTGGTTCCGTCATTTTACTCCTAATTTGACCGATTAACAAACTCCACCTGTTTTCCTTCTGGGTTTCCACGTGGTTTCGTCGGACTACCAAAAGGGTAGGCTGGTAATTTCCTCTTTTCAATTCCTTCTTTGTTTGCCGCGTGTGTGCACATCCGCAGAAAAGATCCACGCCTTGGATCTTCAATCTTCCATATTTTGCTGATTCTAAAAATCTTTGCATATCTCTCTGTGCCGGTTGCTCTGATTTTGCTCCTGACTCTCTCGATAGATTAGGAGCCATTATTTTCCTCCGCCACCAAGCCTCGAAAGGTTTCTCCGGCGGTCATTTCGCCTCTACGGTAAGTTCTCCGATTTGCCTCCATACTGATTATTTCCTTCAAGGGTAGACTGCAAATCCTCAATTTGGGTGTTCGCACAGAGGCTTCAACTCCACCTTTGCATAATGCCTAGCTCTTTCTTTTTGACTGGGTTTTGGAGGTTCTTCATCTATATTACTTGAGTCCAGAATCTGGATATTTAGGTTTTGCTTGGACCTCTGACTCAAAAATAAGTTAGTCGACTTACTACTTATTGTTTAATGAATTGATGAGATACAACTAAAGTAGAGCTTAATTTGATTTTGATTTGTCCGAGTTTTCAATGGGTAAAAAAAATGTATCTTAAACAGGTAAAAAAATTCCAACAGTAGAAATACTTTAACAAAAATCCTATGTAAAAATTCCTCAGTGTCCTTCATTCTTTATGATTTCTAATCATGGTTTTGGACCTCCTATTGCACCCATCAACTCCATTCTCTGTGGCTCTTTTTCCATTTTTAATATGATTTGGTTGGCTTGCATTGATAATTCCGTTGGAGAAGTACATGACTTTCTGTAGTTTGCTTCATTATTGTATATTCTGCTTAAGGTTTGATGTTTTATGCCTACTTTTGTGGTGATTTTTCCTTGGTGTCTATTACTTTATGCATCATGGAAAAAATTTACACTATTTCTATATTTCTCTTTGGACAATCGCAACATATTTTTCTACTCGGAATAGCAAATTATAGTTTAGTGCCAGACGTTTACACAGTTTTGGAGCTCCACTTTCCTTTCCCTTCACTCGCTCCTTAAAATTGAGTATCGAATTATATTGAAATGAAACTCTGAGGAAGAGATGCTGCTAGGTTTAGGAAATTTCACTTAGTCTTCTATGTAGAAGTAGAGGTTATGACCTCAAATTGAGTAATATATCTGTCCTTCTGCAATTTTGTTCTTTTAAGTATCTTTATTTTGCTTATGTACCTCTGTCCAGGAGGTTCAGAGTTTTAATTTCTCTGTTGGTTTGAGGTTAATTTGTTTAAGTTACTTGTGTAACTTGAAATATGGATGATGACTTTGGTTCATTAGTATTCCAGATTAGATTCCTGACTGTGATTTTGTGTGGTTAATGTATTGTGGTATTTGTTAATTGGTTTGTAGTAACAATTATCTGTGCTTTAAGGCATATCTTGGTACGCACCCGTGTTGGATACTTATGCACATCCATACGTAACACGTTCTATATTTATATCCTTGATTTCATTGCTTGCGTGGTACATACTCTTTTCTTTCACTTTCTTATATACAAAGGCATTCGTGTTTGGGAAGATTTTTGCTAATGTGAATTCGGGAGATTTGTTATACATAAATTGGAGCTTTTGCTAACCATAGCCAACTGCTTCATAAGCTACTAAGAATTACTATAAGGTTGTACACGTATATGCATAATTATCCCTCTGTGAGATAACTGTATGAGAGTTAATATTTCATGAATTGCTCATTGGCGAAGCTTTCAATATATTCCATGGCAATTTAGTTCTCTGCTTATGGATAACTTGACTAGATAAGTTGCAGGGAAATGACTCAAGGATTTCATTGGTTTTGTACTTGGCTTCTGTTTTCGTTTCGTGTTTATGATTAGTGTCAATTATAATGTGATTTCTTGCCAGTTAAATGTGCAAGAAAGTAAAGATTCCAGGACAAGCTTCTATTTCCATTTACACATACAAGTAGTTGCGCTCAGTAGTACTTTGTTTGTTCTTATTGGCTAGCTAATGTGGTTGAAGTTAATAATATCTTTCACTCCTAATAGAGAAAAACCAAATGACTATTTCTCTGTGTTCAGAATATATAGGCGAATGAAAACAACAGAATAAAGTTGGGAGATAATTTCTTTCATGCTTTTGTCAATTGGATTTTCTCAAATTTAAATAGCTCATCTCCAAAGTGATATGTTATTTTCTGTACCATTTGAGGTTTCAGATGCATACCTGCTTCTCTTTCCTATATCCGTCAAATTTTGTTACTATTCACTCCTTTAATTTATTTTCAGGTAATAAAAGAGGTTTCAACCTGAAAGAACCTACTTTTGTTCAGAAATTCCATAATTCAAAAGTTATATATCTCTGAAAAAGTCCATGTATAACATTTCGCAGAATATATGTAACCTACTATGAAATGTGTAACGTTGGTATTTATTTTAATCATGTTGCATATTTGCAAGTCTTTCTTTACAACTACTTTTATCTCCACAATGCACGGGCACCCTTATCTAGTAGTATATATAAAAGTGATGGTTCTTCGGCCATTCAAGGGCAAAACTGTCATTTCACCAGAAGAGATCTTTTCAAGTTACAAACATTCAGGGGTAACCCTATCATTTTCTCAAAAGGATATCATCGAAAAGGGTGAATTCGTAATCTCCGTTACTTTCTACGCCTATCAAAGAAAAGGGATAGACCAATGTGGGTTCCAAACCTCACCTTGACTTCGATTCGAGCGACTCTTGCCTAGAAAAAGCCGATGAAATGGGACCGCGAAGACAGCCCACCACTGAAACTTGCTTTGCTCTCGCTCGGCTGCCGAGTGTTTTTTTGCTCCTATCTACGGCGATGTACGTGTTGAATCTGGTGATAGTACTTAACTTGTGACCAAAGAAGCAACGTTTCTGAGTATGATTACATTCGTATTGTTGTTGCTCTTATTTTTATTCTTCTTTTGTTGTCTGTTAGCAAGAACAGGCGACATATTTCAGAAATTGTCTTGTCATCAAGTTACCAAATAGACAACAGCAACAGAAAAGTTGTTTGTGAAAAATAATGAAAAAGTAACACCCATAAGATAGATTACTAACAATAGAAAAAAACGAAGATATCACATCTTGATTGTTACCTGGATATAGTGCAAAAAAAATTAGGGAAAATGAATCAGCTCATAGCAAAACCATAAAGAATAACAGAGGAGAGATGAAGCAATGGGAGTATCTGTAGAGGCTCTACATTACTTCGACTCTGAGTCTTAGGCATTAATTGACCTGTCCAATGCTATCCAAAAGAACATAAAAAACCATTACTATTTCCCTTATAATAATAGATACTAATAGTTCAGGTTGGAAAAGCCCGTGTGCAAAAAAGTTATTAAGATTGATACATAGATAGTGATAATTCAGTTAGGAAAAGAAAAGGAGAACAATCAATTTTTCACGTGTGAAACTTGCAAAAAAGTAAACTTTGAGGCTCTTCTATTAGCTGTACACAGATGCGTTTCTGTTTCTTCATGCAGGCAATTTTCTAAATGAGCACAGTTCATCTGCAAATCAACAATGGAAAAAGATTAAGAAGAAGTCATTAAATAAAGATATGAGAACCTTATGAAAAAAAATTAAGTGTAAACACAGTGAATATCTATCCCTCTGTTTTTCTTCAAACATGAATTTGGGACTCTCTTCTCTCATAAGTAGGATATGCTATTTTGGATGGCTATTGTATATTGTGTGGAGTTTTATGTAACTCCTCTATTTACGGGAAAACAAGAAGAAGGCAGAATAAAAACTTACTTTGAAATATCAAAGCAAAAATATTTTAGTCTTGGTTGTTATTTTAAGAAAAAAATTATGCCCAATTAACATTTTCAAACATTTGGTTGGTTTATTGAACCGGGAAAACCCCAATAAGAGGCTTTGGTTTACTAAGTTTTTTGCTTTCTACTAGGTAATATCAACTGTTGCTTTTACTTTAAAGCATTTGTGCTTTTACCAAGGAAAATGCTTAGTTTGTCATCATATCATACATTATTACATTACCTAAGGCAACTAAGCTGTGATGACATCTTTGACATTATTTCAATAGCATTTTGGCCTGACCTATGAATAAGGTTTATGTACATTCTACCCTCCACACACCTCATTTGTGTAACCACACTGAATATGTTATTATGTTGCAACTGTATGAAATTGTTAACTGGTAAGTAATGAGAACATAAAACACTAAGGGGTTGTTTGGTAGAGTATATAAGAATAATGCTGAATATGATGTATTAGTAATGCAAGCATTAGTAATACTTGCATTAGTTATGCTTACATTATTTCTTATACATTGTTTGGTTTGATGTATTGGAAATAGCAAGCCTTGTATAAAGACTATTAAAAAATATTTGTTTACAAAAATACCCCACATTATTATTATTATTATAATTAATATTATTATAATTATTCTTATTATAATAATTATTATAATTATTCTTATTATAATTATTATTATTATTATTATTAGGCGTAGAGGGTAGTTTTGTCATTAGTTAATCTAATGCATGCATTAAAACCATTGCATTGCTAATACCTAGAAATCCATGGCATTAGCAATACACACCTTAATACACAATAGAGTGTATAAATAATGCAAGCCTTAGTTATACATAGGTTGGAAAAGAGTACCAAACAAGGTACTAGTAATACACAATGCTAATGCATGCGTTATTTTTCCTAATACACTCTACCAAACGACCCCTAAATGAAGCCACTTTGTCCTCCTTTATATCTTCCTCACCCATTTCATTTGCTAATATTCCTTTGTCTCAACTTACCTCCTATGAAGTATGATATCTCTATTTGGTGATTCACTGTCTAACATAAAAATTGTTAGCTACTGAAACTTCATGTTATTACTTGTATATGTATAAGTATTAATTCTTACTTTCATATTATTACATGTGAACCTTATTTGACATTATCTGCAGCAGGGTCACAGAGAACAAAGGAACACTTCCTTTACTTGAGGAGCACATCCAAATCTGGATCTCTCATCTCCGTTCCAGTAGATGAAGTAGTCATCCCAATTGCAAACACTAAATCCCAAGAAGATGTTAGTAAAAAATTCATTTATTATTTAATGTTAAAACTTACTACAAATACTTACATTCATTCTTTTCTTAATACATGAACAAACATTCTCAATTGAAGCAAAAATATCATTCCCGAGTGACCAAAAGAGATTGACAATAATGAAAAACATAAAGCATTCGGCATGCACCAAGCTACTCATTTCAGAATTCAACTTGAACTTAAACATCTGTACTCTCTTTAGGAGCAAGCTTCGTGTATAACCTTGCACAAAACATATGTAATATATTTAATACACAACCACACCCTTCTTTATTTTCCCGTCAATATAAAACAAGCACGGGCACTCACCCCCTAGTATATATATATTAGCGAATACTAAGCACTAGTCTTCAAAGTGAACTTTCCAAACAAGCAGTGGATCCTATTATATACTCCCTCCGTCCCATTTTATATGATGTACTTTGATTTGGCACAAACTTTAAGAAAAATGGAAAGACTTTTAAAACTTGTGGTCCAAAATGAACATAGAAATTTGTGTGGTTGTAAATTATTTCATTAAGGGTAAAAAAGACATTTTATAGGCAAATTGTTACTTAAAATAGAAATGTATCATTCTTTTTGGGACTAACTAAAAAAGGAAAGTAAGTCATAGAAATTGGGACAGAGGGAGTACCATATATCACCAACAGTAGTAAATAACTAATTACTTATTATATTAGTGTTTTAGACTGCACATTTTTTATGAGATCTATATAGGGTTTGACATAATTTGGTTCAAACTAAAAAAAAATCAATTGAGCTAAAACAATTCAATTTTTTTGGTTTGCTCGATAGATTTCAATTTTTAATTTTAAATATTCGGTAATTCGATTTTCAGTTTTTAATTATTTTTTTCGGTTAACCAAGAAATCAAATATGTTTAATACATTTATAATTGGAAAAATTATGTAGAAAAACAAACATTTAGTTTACATTAGGTATTATAACTATAGTTCAAGAAAATTGTAATTTGTGGCAATAGTTTCCACAATTCTTTTTATTCGCTTGATTTGTATAATTCGATTTCTGATTGTATAAATTCGGAATTGTTTATATGCTTACCCTAGCTATTTGTATACGATTTATAAAAAAATAATAATAAATTACCTTGTTTGTATATTGGCAAGTGAAAGATACAAACAGAGTTTTGAAAAATTCTTAAATGTATAAATACATAAATACTTACCCTATTTGTATATTTGCAAGCAAAATATACAAACCGCTGCCTCTATAGCAAACGAAACTATAGCTATGGAGCGCAATTATCGAAACTATAGCTATAAAGTCTAGGTTTCATTTATTTTCACTTAATGAAGG